AATATGTTTAAATGTTGTTTAAGTATATCTTACAACTTTTTTTCAATTAATTAAGCAAATTTATTATGTCTATTCAATTATTGTAATTATTAATATGTTATAAATATATTAAGTTATTACCGTAATATAAACTTTTGCTTTCTACATATTGTTATTTTGACATTTGAAATATTATTTTAACAGGAGAAGTAGAATATGATTTAGATGAAGAAGATAATGCATGGCTTTCTATTGTGAACGAAAGAAGGTTGGCTTCTGGATTAACACCTGCATTAGAACCAGATACATTCGAACTATTGATGGATAGACTAGAGAAAGAGTCATATTTCCAGCAACAAACTAATGGTGGAGGAGGTACTGCTGCAGATGAAGATGCAGTCTGTTGCATTTGCATGGATGGAGAATGTCAGAATAGTAATGCTATTCTGTTCTGTGATATGTGTAATCTTGCTGTGCATCAAGATTGTTATGGTGTACCATATATACCTGAAGGACAATGGTTATGTAGGAGGTGCCTACAAAGCCCATCTAGGGCAGTAGATTGTGTCCTCTGTCCAAACAGAGGCGGTGCTTTCAAACAGACTGATCGTCCTGCAACATGGGCTCATGTTGTATGTGCTCTATGGATACCGGAAGTACGATTTGCTAACACTGTATTTTTAGAACCTATTGACAGCATAGAGAGTATACCACAAGCTCGTTGGAGACTTACATGCTACATATGCAAGCGTAAAGGAGCTGGTGCGTGTATTCAATGTCATAAGAGCAACTGTTACGCAGCATTCCATGTGACTTGTGCTCAGCAAGCCGGTCTATGCATGCGTATGAGAACGGTACAACCTACTAACGGTGAACCTATGTTGGTACAAAAAACAGCTTTTTGTGAAACACATACACCTGTCGATTATCAGCCTTCCACGAATCCTGTAGATGCACGCAGAAGAGCAATAGCTAACAAAAAAAGCACATCAGCGCCTGTTATTTCCATTCCCACCATACCACCCGAAAGAATCAGAGAAATTGCTAGGTAATATAACAATTTTATTTTTTTGTTTATCTACGATAATGATTATAGTAGGCACAACATAATTTAAATATACTCTGTATAATAAAAATATTTTAATGAATTATTAGATTTATATTATACATATTATTTTTTTATTTAATTAGTTTAGCGGAAGGGATACCAAAAAGAAGCCAATTAATACAACGTCTCATTGCTTATTGGACACTAAAACGGCAATACAGAAATGGTGTTCCACTTCTTAGACGATTGCAAAGTTCCCATCCACAATCTAGACCACCTGCCCTTGGAGAACATCCCTCTTCGCCGACACATGATGGTGAATTGCGAGGAGAAATGTATCGTCATCTTAAATATTGGCAGTGCCTACGTCAAGATTTGGAACGTGCACGATTGCTATGTGAATTAGTACGGAAACGTGAAAAATTAAAAAAGGAATTATTCAAAGTGTTAGTATAGTTGCGACACATTATGAATAATGTAGACATCATTTTCATTAGTAAAAATTGGCATTACTCTCAAATACTGAGGTTGATCCATATACTACACGAGAAAAATAACGCTTTTGGTAAAGTATTTTCATAAAGACTTTTATTAATGATTTCATTAATAAAACATAATTATAAAATTCCTGTTTATACTCCACTTTTTTAAATGTCCCAGGGACTAATCTCAGTAAAAGTGTCACTGTTTTTTACCTTAGTATTTAAGAGTTAATATATTTTTTAAGAATGAACTAGTAAAGTAAAAAAATAAATTTATATAGATTGTTAAAAAAATTTAATAAATTCTTTACAATTTTATATAATGCCAATTTACATACATACCATAAAACATACTTTTGAAAAATATATTTACACTATTTTATGTTATATTATAATATATATTTAAAAAAAAATTTTCAATTAAAATTGATTGCAGTAAGGAAAAATGTTTATGGATCGAATTGCGACCATGTGAAGGTGTTTTACGTACATTGTTAGAAGCTATAAAGTCGAAAGATACAAATGATGTATTTGGGCAACCAGTTAATATCAAAGAAGTCCCAGATTATCTCGAAATAGTATCACATCCTATGGATCTCTCTACTATGCAGGTAATTATTTTACATTACGTTTGTTTATATGTTTATACTTGTTAAAATATATTTCGTGACTCCATTACTTTATCACAATATAATCTACAATTGTTTGTCATATTTTTCATTACAGGCAAAATTAGAAAAGCATGAATATCACTCACTCTCAGTTTTTGAGACTGATTTCAATTTAATGGTGAATAATTGCCTGGCATATAATCGTAAAGATACCATGTTTTATCGAGCAGGAATGAAAATGAAAGAACAAGGTGGAGCTCTAATAGAACAGGTTCGCAAAGAATGTCCTGAGCTTAATCCAGCCTCTGAAGCCGAACAAGTCGGTTCTAAATCTAGAAAGAGAGAAAGATCGAATCGTAATCGTGTGGAAACAGAATCACAATCCAATGAGAAAGAAATTGGCGGAGGTGTAAATAGGAGAACAGCTGTGTTGTTTACTCGCAAAGCTAAAGCGCGTAATGTTAAAAATAGTCAGATGTTTCTTTCGGAAGATGATAAAAAGAAACAAAGCGATAGTTTTAAAATATATAGGTAATTATAACACACACGCGTTATTTTTAATGTTTTTTTTGCATATAATTAATTCATATTAATAATATTTATGTTACGAAAAGTTGTGTACATGGCTAATACTTCTAGGAGTGGAACAATGGATAGTGACGTGGGTGAAGGAGAAAGTCAATCATCGAGCTGTAGTAGTTGCCCCACTAGTAGATCCACCTCTCCTGATCCAGAAGAGCAGAAGCAACGACAAGAGATTACTGACACAAAAAAAGAAACCGAAACTAAACAAACAAGTAGTGGTAGTGGCTTAGAAGCTTTGCAGCTTGTATGGGCTAAATGTCGTGGATATCCTTGGTATCCAGCCTTAATCATTGATCCTAATACACCTCGGGGCACTGTACATAAAGGGGTGCCGATTCCAGCACCGCCTGATGATGTTCTGGCACTTGCAGATAATTATAAAGAGCCAGTTTTTCTTGTGCTTTTTTTCGATACGAAGCGCACATGGTAATTATTCTTAATTCTTAATGTAGGAACATATAAGATATTTAATATGCACTTTTAGCGAGAGTTAAAAGAAATAAAAAACTCTCATTTAAAAAAATTATGTTAACAATTTAAAAATTGAAAACAAATTTTGATAGAAAAATATTTTATTTATTATACACATATTATTAATACACACAAATATTTTTCATATATTTATTTATATATATATATTAATATATACACGTATATTCAATATATAAAACATAATATATAATACAATAAATTTGTTATCTGCATAAAGAATGATCTTAAGGCGTAAAGACTCTGCAATTTTGCGAAATAAATATTTTTCAATTTTATAAAAGTAAAAATATAATTTACAAACAGTAAAAATATTCAATTTTATAAAAGCATACATAATTGACAAATAATAAAAATATTACAACGTAACGTTTTTCAGGCAATGGCTGCCAGGTGAGAAATTAGAAAAACTTGGTGTATCACAAGAAGTGGATGAAGCAAAATTAATCGAATCGCGTAAACCTACGGACAGAAAAGCCGTAAAGAAAGCTTATCAAGAAGCTTTACATTACCGCAAACAAACACATAATGCGGTAGTAGACAATACATCCACTGGATAAATATTGTAAATACAAAGAATAAAATATGTAAGAGTAACCTGAAAATTTCTAATTAAATAATAAGGAATTATGTATAAAATATAAATATACAATTAAACATATATTTATATATGTATAATATATAAAACATACAATCTAGAAAAAATTGAATATATTTGGAACCCTAAGATTAAATATTAAAAAAATTTTGCTAATATCAATATATAACTAAAGATTTCAAGTATTTTATTAGTATTTCATTTTACAATTACCTACAATATTGCACTATTATCTTTTAAAAATTAAAATTTACATCTATAAATATTTTGTTATGAAAAAAACCTTTTCTAAATCTAATTTAAAAAAGGTTCCTTCTAATTGTAACTTATAATGATGGATGCACTTGTATAATGGATATACAGTTTTTGAGTTTAGCTAAATTATATGTTTTGTAATCTTTTTTCAACATAAAATACAATATTCAAAATATATACAAATCTAATTGACATTATATTTGTAATAATAATAATAACAACAATATTTCTGAGACAATATATGTATACATTATTTATCAATTAGTTATTGTATATAAAATTTCATTATTATATAAAACCGTAAATTATTGTATCAATTTTACCAAAATAGAAAATCTGGAAATAGATAAATTTTATATATATTAATATTATACAAAATTTTATTATAAATTTATACAAGGATTTGATGTTAAAATGCTTTGAAGTAATTTTCAATCAATTACTTAGTAAAATTCTTTCATTTAATTGATAAATCGTATTTCAAAGCATTTGTAGTGAGACTTCGACCGTATCAGTTAAAAAATTGTTAAACTGATGCAAATTTTATAAAATGCACAAATTTGAAAATGTATATATAAATTTTGCAAATCTCTTATTATATTACGCAAGAAACTGAAATAACAATTTCCTTTTTATGGAACTTATGTACATGAACTTCAATTTATGTATATATAAAAAAATTATATGGCGTAAATAAATCATTTGTGTAGAAAAATATAAATTTTGTTAATCTTAGAAAAATCTGTTAACTTCGGTGTATTACATTTTAAATCTAATCTGGATGTGCTGAGCCTAAAGCACAAAATATAAATTAAATTTTTTTTTAAATGTGAAAATTAATCACATTTAATGGCGATTTAGATGATACAATATACATTTGATTTTATATTTGTCTAATTAATTTATAAACTTATTAATTTTTGTAAAATATTTATAAATGCAATTGTCTTGTTTTTAATCTTATTTACCATTCCGCTTTGAAACATATTCAGCAAGTTCTTTAGCATACATGTCGAGTCGTTGTGTCATCTAAAAGATATATAGTAAATTTAAAGTACATATTTTTGTTATATATGTAAATTAATTCCGTTTACTAAATATCTACAGTATTATTACTCAATTTTTCTTGAATTAAAAGTATTAATGTATTTACTAAACTTATTGCCATTGTGATTTTCTTTATTATTCTACATATAACGAAGAATATGAAGCACTCACCCTAAATCCCCAAATATCTTTCACATGTCGACACATATTGAGATCCAATTCTCCAACGAGAAGTCCATCTTTGTGTCGATTTAGACTTGGAGTTCGCCGACCGTCGGGGGCAGTAATATAACTAGAGCCATAAAAAAATCCAAAATCGTTGTGCGCTGGTTTTCCATCACCAGAAGTAAATTCATTTGCGAAATGCTCAGTTCCTACGCGATTGATAGCGCAAGTGTAATAATTATTTGCAATCGCGGCGCATCTCGCTTCGATTGGCCATAAATGTTCCGATAATCCTTGAACAGTTGCAGATGGATTAAAAACGATCTAAAAAATATAAAAGAGATTATATCATTGAGAAATCTGAATAAGATTTATTTATCGATTAGATTGTGAAATTAAGAAAATTGTGAAACACACGATAAATTTTTTCTCTAAAGAAAATAAACTTCAAATTTTATAAAAAAAAGAACGTTGCACGCAGAATTTATTTATTATCTTATTTAGAAATGGTTATAATCTATGACTCACCTCCGCCCCATTCAAGCCAAACATCAACCAGTTCAATGGATGATGACGTCCATAACATATATTAATCGCGATGCGTGCAAAGGGAGTGTCAAATACTGGATGCCCTGTGTTACCCTCCATATAGTAAGTGGATTCGTTAAAATCCCCAATACGAGGAATATGATTCTTTCTATGTTTCCCAAGGACTGTACCATCCGTATTGATCACCACACAGGTGTTCCAAATAATATCACCGTCAGCAGAATCTCTTTCCAAAATTGGCGATATTATTACCATGTTGTATTCCTTAGCGAGCTCAGACAAAAATACAGTTGTAGGTCCCGTTTCAGCATCCTCCGCAAACTCGCACCACGGATACTTTTCCCTCGTGCAAAAAGCGAACGGCATAGCTGCAATAATTGCATAGATCAATTATAAAAATTTACATATAATGAAATTATAATACTATATAATTTAATAACTATATATACTGTATACAGTGAAAAATAAATCATGGAACGGCTGATTATCTCAGAAAGTATTAGTTTATTGGAAAAATGTTTCAGACAAAAAATGATAGGGTTTAAAAAAATCTATTTATTGATCTCATCACTTTGACCTGATATTGGCAATGTCACCCAAGGTCAAACTGATAAAAAATAAGTAAATAGAGATCTTTCTAAACCCTACAACTTTTGTCTGAAGCATTTTTCCAATAAACCAATACTTTCTGAGATAATCAGACGTTCTGAAATTTTTGATCCTTATTGCATATTATATATAAATCTAAAGAATTTTCCACATACGCCATGCTTCTTGGAGACATAAAATGTTAACGTTATATTGAGCTGCTTGTACAATGTACGATTTAATTTTATTATATATTGCATTTCGTTGATTTTGAATAGAATCCGTTGTTGGTGCTACTATGCTATGTTGAATCAGTCCAACGCGAACTAAGCGTGGGGGACGAAGTTCTTCATGGATTCGACTAAGTATCTGCCATCCTTTTACTTCAAAATTTTTATCTTCATATTCTATACCTAATGGACTAAAAATAATACATAAGGATGTATTACTTAAACCTTTTAAGATCAAATAAAATTTATGCTGTGTATACTTAGATTTAACTGTGTCTTATAAAACTGTATTCTATCAAGAGCTTTATATCATATATTTCTTGTATTCTCTATATAATCAAGTATATATTCAATACATGTACAAATATGCATTAAACAAACAAATAATTAAATAAATATTCTTATATAAGATATATATATATAGAGAGAGATATTTTGTAATATAGTCTTACATAGATGAATGTCCATATAAAATACGTTTTACTTCAGCTAATTTATTCTGTGGTATATATTGCTCTAAAATTTGTTCCACAGTTTCAGTCATGATTGCTACTTTGCTGGCTTGCTGTTTGACTGAATAATCTTGAAACTTGAGGTTCTATAAATGCGATAGCACTTCCCCTACTGTATCTACCAAAGCAGTAAAAACAAGATTAGACAATATGGGAGACAAACATATCTGAAGGACATTACAGATATCTACAAAAATTTTTGTAAAAATCTTTATATTACATTATTGTTGCAATATTATTTACACATAATATTGAGTATTGTATGTTATCTTATTGAACACAAATTAATAATTAATAATATATATTACATAAATGTTATAATATAACATATGTTATATCAATTTACATCGATGAATGAAAAATTATTAATATTGAAGTAATGTTACTGATAATGTCTTGTTTAACAGGATATGTCATATTGGTAGCAAAGCAAATTAATTTTATTCGAACTTATTTTATTCAACACAAAACAATATAAATGCATATACAGTGGAAAAAAATTATGTAAAAATACATGGGGTGCTTTCCATTTGACAATATATGAATCCACAAAAATATTGTTCTATGTTTGTTGAAATGGTATTGTCAAAAAAGATAGAACAATATTTGCATAATTGTATCGACTTGTATCGATAAATGAGAAGGACATGTAAAAAAACACATGAAAAGGTTATGGAAAGATAATATGGTAATGTCTCAACACTAATTCGCAAGTACATAAGCATTTTATTATTTATATATGTATAATGAGAAAATACATGTTCTGTAGAATAAGAATTGAGTGAATCTATTAATAACCAAAAATTTATCTTTAAGAGTAATTAATTTTTACTGTATAAGGTAATATACCTATTACGAAAGTTTTCCATTTTGTGTGAGTCGACACATTTGACACAAACATGATTTTATCTTTTTTGACATTTCATAAATAAGATAAAATGACACTGATTCTGTCAGCTGTGTCATCAAATAAAAAGCACCTTACGTTTACAATTTTGTTACAATGTAGTTATCATTTTTAAATACAAAACTGGGTATTAATTACGAAGAATATTTATCGTATAATAGTGAAAAATACATACGAAATTTTTAGAACACAACGTAGTGCACGTTTATCTTATCTGTACAATTCAATTGAATTCAATGTGTGAGAACATATGTGGGGATCATGGTGGGGATATGAACATATGATTGAAAAAATACGATCGTAACAAGATTTTGAAATTTTCATTCGCCACGAGCTGCAAGATGGCAGTGGTATCGAATTATCTTGTGATAACTGGCAATGATATATCATATTATGATAATGTAGTTTGGATTCCAGAATTATAGATGTCTGATGTCTCATGTCACTGATGTCAGTAGGTTTGTTTGTAAGCAAAACAATTGACATCTACGTGCATTTATGCAAATTTTATGAATAATAAAGTATTTGTGGACTTCAATGAGTGATAACATAATTATTTTTTGATTGTAAAAACTTGGGGGAAAAACCTACTAGGAATAGAATTGGATCAAATTAGATATTCCAAGACTGAAGGTGTTGATCTAAATCTAACCTTACTTGACAAAAGAACGACTTATCAACAATTTAAAATAATGTCTAACAGTTTTGTCCTTTTCAAATTCTTTAAGGTGTAAGACATAATTAGATAACGTATACCTTATTGTGTCGAAAGTTAGCAGGAAGTTTTATAACGATGGCTGCAACAAGGGAAAAGCGTACAAACGCTGGCAATAAAATGGCACGGTTACTAAATGAAGAAGAGGAAGATGATTTTTATAAAACTACATATGGTGGCTTTGACGAAGTGGAACAGGATCACGATTACTTGTTTGTGGCTTTTATAATTTTATTATATTTATTCTTATTCTTCTGTTATATTTAAGTAATAAAGTCTCATAACGAAGTACATAAATGGTTCAATTTCAGGGAAGAAGACGAAGCTGAGGATGAAGTGGATTCGGACTTTAGCATTGATGAGAATGATGAGCCAGTTTCTGATACTGAGCAAGAAGGACCGAAAAAGAAACGCAGATTAGTAACGAAAGCATATAAGGAGCCTAAACCAGCTACATTGCATGCACATTCGACACCCAAAGAGAAAAAGATAAAACAACCAAAGCAAGAAAAGATTTCTGTAGATAGCATAGGTAATGTAAATACTTAAACATAAATGTTTTTAGCATAAATTTAGCATAAATTTAATACTTTTTTTCAATATATTTATTTTGTAATGTTATGCAGAAAGAAAATCAATTCGCCGCTCTACTGCTGCAAAGTCAGCAGCTACACAGAAACGTTTACGTGAGAGAAACGAGGATCAGAGGCGAAAGGTAAAAGTTGTAAGACATAACACATGGAAACCTACTCAGGAAGAATTATTGGAAGAAGCATTGCAAACAGAGGAGCTTAATTTGAAATCTTTAGGTACACATTAAATAAAATACATTTAATAACGTTCCTTATTTGGGTATTTTTTTTTTCTAAAAGATAGAAAATATAAATTAAATAAAACATAAGATATTAAAATGAGATGAAAACTACAAATTACAATTATGTTTCTTTCTGAAGACTTCGGGATTATATATATAAAAAGAAATCATTAAAGGTCTATTCTATCTTGTTGGGTTCAAAAAATCAAAAATTTTTTGCATAATTTGATAGTCTCAAGATTGTAGAAGTGTTGAAGCCTTAGGGCTATGGCACACAAAAATTTGTAGCAGTAATAAGATGTAAGTGTAACAGTAAGGAAATCAACATGTTGGATTGAAGCTACTGTTTTCGTAATGGTTTTACGGATTCTACTGTGATTGGTCAATTTGCTTAAGTCAATTTACTCCTTAAGTTATTTTGTCTGCAATGGCCTTTAACATGAAACTCCAAAAGATAAAAACGTTACAAAGTATTAAAGACGATCATACAATCATACAAGTAGGTATTAAAATCAAGTATTAAACCGCACCGCAGGTATTTAACGGACAGTTTACAGACGTCTTTGTCGTCAGTAATGCAAATTATTGATCCAAAATTGGTGGGTATTTAAGTTTTTTATCACCAGAGGGCGTGTGTGTGAAAGCAGAGAGAGAGAGAGAGAGAGAGAGAGAAATCTGAGAAGGGCGGAATGGCCATCTCGGTCCTTTTCGTGAGGAAGACGTTCGAAGTGTTCAAATCGTTTTTCATTCAAAATTCGTAAATGTGTGTTCGTGCGTCATTATATTACTCGTAAAGTTTTGTTTAAAATGTATCGAGACCGGAGATTTCGGGAAAACCAACGCCCGGTTCATCGCAGTAAAAAACGAAAATTTTATGGAAATCGTTATATCAAAATAAGCGAGACAAGCCCCAGTACATCATCGAAAAAAATAACTGGATCCGATGATTTCGATGTCGTTGTCATCCCTACTCATGTTTATTCAATAATCAATTTTAATCTTGTTTTTTCGGCTTTGTCGAACATTTTGAAGTGCAAAATATGCGACGGTGACGTGACTTTTGGAAAAAAAGATGAGCAAGGATTAGGATTTCAACTTGCCATACAGTGCCACTGTGGGGATAATTTCATTAACTCCTGCGCAAGGATCGGAAACAAAGAGGCATATGAGATAAATCGAAAGTTCGTCTTTATCATGCGGCTGTTAGGAATCGGATTACATGGAATCAATTGCTTCATTGGTTTGATGGATTTAGGTAAAAGCATGAACACAAAAACGTATTATGCCGCGATTGAAAATATATTTCGTTCTACGAAAGCAGTATTCGACGAAGTTGTTAAAAAAGCCGGTCGTGAAGAAAAGGAGCAAAATATTGAAAATGGTTTTGAAGAAGACAAATTCATTGTATCAGGGGATGGATCATGGCGTAAGCGAGGGTTCTCATCTTTGTTCGGTGTGATAACATTGATCGGGCATTTCAGCAATAAAGTGCTCGATCTTGTAGTAAAATCTAGTTTTTGTAAAGCATGCGTAACGTGGAAGAACAAGTTGAACACAGCAGAATACGAGAATTGGTACAGTGAGCATAAAGAGGAATGTTCAGCGAATCACGCTGGAAAAATGGAGGTAAATGCGATATTGGAAATGTTTGCGAGAGCCGAAGATATACACGACGTCAAGTATAAACAGTACATCGGAAATGGCGGCACGAAAACCTTTAAAACTTTACTAAAACAAGATTCGGAAGTAGAAAAAAAAGAATGTGTAAATCACGTTCAAAAAAGAATGGCCGCGAGACTCCGTAATTTAAAAATAACGAATAAAAGCATTTGTAAAGAAAACGTTGGAAACTTGACAAACAAATTGATAAACGATTTCACCGTTTACTATGGACTTGCAATAAAACATAATCCTAATTCGGTTGAAAATATGATTAATGACGTTTGGGCGACGTACGAACATAAAATTTCGACGAACGAAAAACCGATGCACGATTGCTGTCCGCCGGGTCCGAATTCATGGTGTAAATGGCGACGCGCTGAGGCTGTTGGGACGCTCGATGATTTTGATCATCCTCTCCCCCTTAACGACAAGGTTCAACAAGCTATTCGGCCTATTTTCGAAGATTTGTCATCGTGGAGTTTATTAAATCGATGTCGCGGAAGCTACACTCAGAATGACCATGAAAGTTACGACAAAACTATTTGGCAATTCGCACCAAAGCACATTCTCTGCGATTCGCAAATTGTTACCATCTCTGCTTACCTCGCTGCATGTATATTTAACGAAGGTTTTAAACCTATTTTAAAAATTATGCAAACGATGGGTATTACAATCGGACCGTACGCAGATTTATTTGCCAGTAAACGCGACACGGAGCGCCTGAGAGAGGCTATGACTCTCGAGTCCGTCGAGGAAAACGTACTTTACAAAAATGAAGAACTTCAAGAACCGCAGCATTTTGAAGAAGTGGAAGGCTTATTGTATGGCCCTGGAATAATTAATTAGTTGTAAGTAATCGAACACATAGGCGTAAACGATTTAAAAAAAAATAAATTTAAAATATTTAACGCGATTTCTTGGAACATTTTTCAATTTAATGGAAGTGATAGAACAAAAATTACTGAATCTGTCATTTTAATTTTGCACAATTGTAGAGCAACATTTTTTTCTACTGGATAAATTACAATTATATCAATATCAATGATACTTCTTTTTTATTGCGCGCGCAAAAATAAGAATTTAAAATAAACTTGTAAAGTAAATTTACAATTTAAAGTAAAAAATCGAACTTTTCTTTCAAATAATCGCCATTTTGTTAATTTTCATCCAAAGTCAATTATCGTAATTTATCCAGCAAAAATATTCGTTCTAAACAGGAGATTTTTTTTTAAACTTTCAGATAAGTGAGGCGACATACAGTATTTCTGTTCTGACCACATGTTCAAATTGGAGAGGTTTCTTCCCCAAAATTACAGCCAACAAATTAATTTCGTAAAATTTAAAATTAAATAGAAAAATATAACAAATAAAAAACAATGAAGTTATCCTTATTTATTTATTTTTTTTTTTTGAAAAAATTGCCAAAAATCGCCTTTTTCAAGCCACAAGGTAGAATGGATCCTTAAAAACATATCATTTAAGAAATAGCTATAATTCTTGTACACTTACAGAAAAGTATCAGAAACTAGAAAATGAAAAAAAAACTACGAGGACCGTGAGAAAAGCGCATGTTGGACCAATGATTAGGTATCAATCATTGTCTATGCCGGTCATGGTGTTATCTGAAGCAAATGAAGAAGAAAAAATCAATGTTGAATGTGATGATGAGAGAGAAGGAAATTCCAATAATACACCTGACAATTCTCAAAAAGAAAAAAGGTATATTTCATTATTAATTTTTTTCTGATAAAATATAAAAAGATATATAATAAGAATTTAAGTCCTAAATAAGTTTTCAAAATACTGAATTTAATATACTGTAATTTCATTTAATATATTTCAGTGAAACAGAGTCAAAAATAGATAGAAAAGATGATAATAAAGAGGGATCTGTGGATACAGCTCCTACTTCCACTAAAAATATACATGGTGAAGAAACTGGAACATTTTATGAGCGAACGTTTATTACTTTTAAAAACGAACAATCATATTTAGATGTATTTAAGAAATCAACACAACAAAGACCGCCACTAAAACCTCTATGCGCAATTACACGGTAAAAAAAAAAATTATTTAAGAGTTTTATATTTACAATTGCATATTTATATTTTATTATTTATGACAAAATTAATATTAACCCTTAAATGTCTTTTCAGTGTACTCTGCTTTTTTTATTGTTCATAACTTTTTTTTATTAATACATATACATTTGTTTAATATCGTTATGTTTCTTATTTCTATTAATTTGTTCGAGTCTAAAATGTAATTTATGTTTTAGAGCGTTTTAATCATATTGACTCAAATGATAAGATCGTATAAATTTGAACAGCAGGATTAATTTTTGACATTTTGATTTTAAAAAATTGTTTATAATTTCATTTTTATGAAAGTTATAAGCAATCGAATTGGATTGGATATATCATATCCATGTTGTTTTCATTCGGCGTTTAAGGGTTAACGTTATAATCTAACATTTAAAAAATTATAAATTTTTTGGATTGATAGATTGGCTGCTAAGTATTTGGATCCTATGACACAATTACCGTATAAAAATGTACAGACCTTTCGATTGCTTCGAGAAGCATATTATCAGCAGTTAGAAGGTCGGACTGATCTTAACGATACCTCTCAAAGTCCAGAATTATCACGATGGCTTGAATGGCGACAGAAAAATCATGGTAATTCTCAGAGAAACACCATTCGTCTGGAGTCAGCATCTTTACCCGTGTCTTCGTAATTTTTTCCTTTGTAAGTAATTTAAGTTTAAAGATAGTTAGTTTTTGTTACTTTTACGATTTGACATAACTTAAGCTTTAATCATAAAATAATCTTCATTGTGTATATGTAATAAAGCCCAATACCACCATCTTTGTAAAATATTTAATTTGTTTTCTGGCACCCATGTAATACTGTGTGTATATAGTACATAAATTATAATACTATAAATTTATAACAAGATACAAATTAAAAAATATAAAATCGAATATTTTGTGTGTGTATACGTATATAAAAATATTTTTCATCTATTTGGTTTATGACTTGAGGATATCTTTTTATACATGAAATAACTTCAACAATTGTTAGTACTATTATACAATATTTATATATTGCATAAAATAATCATATATAAAACAATTTGTCAATTACTTTTTTTACATATTTAACAAATTTATATTCCATAAAAAGCAGTAATATTAATTTTATCATGTAAATGTATCAACGTAAAATTGGAAGTTATATTACTTATGTCAAGCATTTATGGATACATTCAAATATAATCATTTATCTTAAAAGCAAGTTTGGTATTTTATTAATAAAATAACGAAATACAAGGCATTATTAATAATCTATTGTTATAGATATAATATTTTTTCGTATTTAACTGATGATGAAACAATCTTACATCTTAAATCATATTCTTCTGCTGTATGTATATATATATATAAAATTTATTCTGCTTAGTTTAAAAGAAATTATAATTTGCCTCTCCTAAGTTTTGTAGCTTGTGGCCTATGGATACAGAATAACTCAAAAATATCTGTAGAAAACTATAGTCACTTTAACATATCGCTTATACATATTACAGTTCTGAGTTTCGTGTATGTATATGTGTGTATGTGTGTGTGTGTGTATGTAACAAAGTAATAAGCACGCTATATCAAATGGTAATTATATTGTAATGATTACCTTACCATTTTTAAGATTGCTTCGAGAAGCAATGAATTTCTCATTTCTTACAACGCATGTGTGTGTATATATACATATATATACACACACATACATATATATATGCATACATATACCTATATACATATATATATGTATATATAGTGTGTATATATCACGATAATATAAATTATACACACTATAAATCAGGTTAAACGCACGCACAATGCACTATAATTATCTTTCATTATTTTGCCTTTTTAAATAATCTTCCTAAAGATTATTGTGGCAAATTTCAAACCGTTGATTTTTCATGTAATCCAGAGAAGTAGACTTCGATTTGTCAATACCTTACTCACTCTCTATTTTATTTAGGATACAATAAAAGCTCATGAGACGTTAACGTATTATACATATTACAGCCACACAGAAAGCAACATCTTTTAGAGTTTTGAAAAACGCCTATTCTATATATCTTTCTTTATCATTGTCCTTATATAATTTTATCCGGTAAGAAGTTTGGAAAGATCCATGTAAAAATAAAGTAATCCCAAAGCATGTAGTGCCCAAGCTTGTACAGACTAGTACTATTATTTACGAAGAGCCGAGAGTGAGCAACGAGAAAGAACTATCTCAAGCTGTTTTTACTGCCTTTTTCATCATTCGCCTTGTAAGTCCATTATCATATTTGTTTTCTTCTATGCAGTGCATGATAATATTTATTCATGATACTTCATTGCATATGATCATAAACTGTTCACATACTCACGATCACGCTACGCGTTAAGTCGTTTATATATATGTATATATATATATATATATATATGTATTACAAAGAAGCAGTAATATAACATTTATTTATATTATAACATAATTTATATCGTGACAGATAGAGAGACAAACAGAGAGAGTAAAGATGATCTTTTCTCGCGGACAGAATGGTGCGCATGCATGCGCGATTACAGCATCATACAATCTTACTTTTGTTCGTTTATCCTTACTTGATTATTTCCACGAACATGTAATGCATACTTGTATATGGATTGATGGATGCCCTCTCTCGCACTGGTAAGGATAAAACTTAACATACGAGATTATATGCTTTCGCACATAGTCTTAACTCTCGTTCTGTTATACACCTGTTATATCTACCGCCAACTAGTACTCCCACTTTTTTCTCCTCCGTATGACTGCTTCTGTAAAACGAAATTACATAATTTTTTTATAATACTCAAACTGTAAGCAATAATTTGAATGTAATAAAAACGACAATTATTCTAGAATTAATTATGTATTTGTTTTTAATAAAAATAAAACATAATAAAAACATAATAAAAATTGTAAATAGAAATAGACTTTAGAATATATTTATGACTGATTTCAGGAATATATTCTATATTTTATATATAATACTCTGTTATTATTAACACGAATTATTAATATACTTTTTTCCTTTAATATTTTACATGTCGTCTCAGACATATTTTAAATATATTTAAATGTACAAATATTAATGTATGTCTTTATTGAAGTATGAAATTAAATTAATATTGTGTAGTACATATTGCGGAATTATCGTTTTTGAAAAAATTACTTAAAAAAATTTTAAAAATATTTGTATAACATATACAGTTACAAGTATACAGTGTACCTAATATTTTATATAGCATAACTTCGGAATCTAATTCCTGAAGAAATTTTCTTAAAAACATAAGCATGGATCAATGATTCTAAATCTAAAGGATTGTGGATATATGGCTGCTTAAACCTTAAAGGAAAACAAAAGAATTTTACAAGCAATGAATAAAATAATAAGTTGTTTTTTCTGTTGCATTCTTTGTATTTATATGCAAATATATGTTTATTATTATATACTATGCAAAAAAAGTTTAAAAATAAGAATGCTTACACACATATACAAAGATATATATAAATATCTAATATTGTGAAATCATAGATACGCTTCTTAGAATCTACGAATATTACATAATTCCGTAATTACTCAGAATCACATCCATGCTTACGTAAACTTTCTTTATGATGTCAAAAATCACCTAGATTATATGTGAACCATTTTATCAATGTTCAATATTTATTTTCATTGAATATCTTATAATTACTATGTAATTAAAGACTGAAATTATATTATATTAAAAATTAAGTGCAAAACTTTAAAATCAATGAAATAAATTATGTATTGTGTGTGTGTGTGTGTGTGTGTATAATTATTATCTGTGTGTATATATATATATATATATATACACATTCACACAAAGTATTAATAATATTGGAGAAAAGATTATTGTATAAAAGGTATTATACAATATATACAAAAAATTAGTTTAACAAGTGTATTAACGATATTTCACCTTATTTAGACATTTTGAAGTATTTAATAATTTCAAAAAGTAAGCTGTTATATTACAAATATTTTGCAACATATTCAATGATACATATTTATTGTTGAACATGAACTGATTTATATATTTTATAAAGCATTTATAATCTAACGATATAAAATATTTAAAAGTCATCGGATGTCTTTTCAACAATAAATTCTTTAACCAATTTAAAGCCAATATTTTCTTCATTTTTGTTTTAAAAGAAATCTAAAAAAGTCTATTTATTTTTATTGATGTTACAATTTCCAGTATTTTTATACGTATGCCTCGTATT